AAATCTTGCAACAAACATCACAAAATGTATTTGCAGTTATCTTGTAATAAATAAATGATTCTGAAATGTGAAATTATAGTTTAGAAAATTCAAGTAACCTTTCGGGCGAACTCTCCTTTGCCTTTGCTGTAGGCCTTGTTTTCTAGGAAGTCGTAGACATAAGGAATCAGAGTTGGGCAAGCCTTCACCATCTCTGGGTTCATCAGCAACTGGAACACACACACAAAAAGTTATTCATGTATATATATATATATACTCTACAAAACAATGAAGGCAATGTATCTAATATATAGTAGTATATAAGTATTACCTGTAGGTAAGCATTGAGGTCTTTTTTTCTCTTCTCTAAGAAGTCTCTGTCCATGTTGTTGAATGTCTTTTTCCCTGGCAGCTTGAGGATCGACGCCAGGTTCTCAAACTAAAGTAAAAACATTGGGAGACAAACAAACTCACGTTGCTGCTTCACATTTTTACACAAATTTTAACTTTTATCAAACTCTCTCTCTCACACACACACACACACACACACCTGTTCAGTGATCCTCATATGGAAGTCGTGGAAGTCTGAATAGCGGCGGTAGGTCTTCCAGCAGTCCTCGCTGCCATCTTGGTTGCGTCTGAACACAGTGATGGCGTACAGCGCGTAGGTCTTACCGTGGTCGTTGCAAACCCCTGCAGCACCCCAGAAGCCGGGGAGACAAGCGTCAGCTAGGCCACGTGGTAATAAATCCCATGAGGGAATGGAGTACGAGGGAGTGAATGGAAGTAGAAGAAAGAATGGAATGGAATGAAAAGAATGTGCAGGAGCAAAGTGTGTGTGGGGGAAGAAGAACGAGCAGAAGAAAGAATGCAATGCACAGAGCGGAAATGTGATAAAAAAAGGAGGAAAATGACAGGAAGGGGGAGGGAGGGGAGGAGGAAGGAAAAAGAAAACAGAAAAACAGTGAAGGTGATGGAATGAAAGAAATATAAAGAGAAAACACTGGAACAGGATGAAAGTGACACAGCTGACACATGCAGCTGAACAGAGCTGGGAGGTGAAAAAACATGAAGGGGGAGCAGGTGCGGACTAGCAGACTAACAGGTATGTATGAAACACTCTGCATACACAAACTGTAAGAGTCAAATCCTACATTTCTTCACAACTTTTCACCAACAGACACTTGAACACAACGTTCAGAAAAACAAGAGTATTTAGACTGTGTGTCTCTGTACCTGTGTCGGAGATGAAGGCATGAAGGTGCATAGATTCATCATGGCAGGAGTTGGACAAGTCGTCCAAAGACTAAAATCACAGGGAACAAGTACATCATAAACAACCAGAAGATGAACTGCAAAATTACTGTCACATCAGGATTTTTCTGAACTCTGCAACAGGCATTGAAGACGACATACTAGGTTTATGCTTCCTGTGGGAGAGCCGTTGAAAGACTCTCCTTCGCCGTCATCAGATCCCCGGTAACTTGGTTCTTTCAACATATCCAGCTCTGCGAGCATGCGGACGTACAGAGGGCTCTGCTTGAAGGAGGGGTAGTAGCGCTCATCCCGTAGCATCATGTCATACACCTGTGGTAAAACACATCATGTGTGAAACTTGTGGAGAATGGAATTAAAGAAGAGAGAAGAAAAATGTGTATCTCTGCTTTAATCAATGAAAACAGCTAAAATGAAGTTTCTTCAAGTGTCAGCATGGGTCATAAAATTCAGTCACACAGACAAATCTGTGGAAAAGATTATTGTACCTGTCTCTGGATTTCATCAAATATCTCTGGCGTGGGATCTTCCTTCTGCAGCTTCTCCCCAAGTTTTGTTACCGACTCCTCTTCCACCTGCACCCTGGGAGATGCCTGTCAATAAATAATAGACGTACGTCAGTAGATTATTTCTTTTAAATAAGGATAGAAGTACTACAAAGCAGGTACGTATACAGAGTTAAACATCTGAGGGACCAAACCTAAACTAAAAAGTAGCCAACTTTGCCTTTAATATTGTCAAAGATGCTACAGTTAAATCCTCTGAAACTTGATCATGCAGACAGTGGGGGTCACCATGAACAAGAGTGAATTGAAATATCTGTGTCACCTCTAAATTACTTTTTTGGAATAATAATTAATAGTTAAAACCTCTGAGTTTTGACATGTGATATTCAAACGCCTCCTACCTTTTCAGAGAGGTATTGTTCGAAGACACCGAGTGCAGCGGCCTTCAGCAGTCCTTTGGTGGCGCTGGGCTGCTTCTTGCCGTCTTTCTGCCAGCCCTGCATGGCCTCCAGTTGCTGCTGTGCCGTCACCCTGTAGCCCTCCACAGTGAGCCAGAAAAACAGCTCGGCCTGCGCCCCCGCTGCCTGCATAAAGTCTGGATCAACACACAAATACATAACAGTTGTTACCGAAGGTGTCTAAGGTTAGAAGGTTACATAAATACATATTACATAAATAATTTGAATTATTGTGCCACTTCAATGACTAAATGTAACTGTGGCTTTGTCAACCTCTTTCAATTACGAACATTTGAGAATTTAGAAAAGCCACATAAATTTCAACATGACAAAAAGAGTTTGAGGATCCATTGGCGTCTCGTGTTCGCAGAATTACCCATGAAGAACTGCAGGGCTATGTTGTGGACGAGGATGTGATCCAGGGGGATGACACACAGCTTGCCGAAGTTGGCTGCCAACTTCAAGGCGTCCACCTCCTACACACCAGACACAGGAAAGACTTTGAGCAAATGCAGCGGATGCTTGTGCAGAAAAAATGTAACCATCATACTAATAAATATAAATAAGCAACTATCAAAACTGAATGCACTAAAATTAAGTAAAGTAGATTTTTTTATTTAATCCTCCAGTGTGAGAACCATGAAAACTGTTTTGTTGTTTCTCACCTTGCCAGACTGCAGCCTCTGGATCCTGGTCTCACACACCTTCTTCACAAACAGAAGACTGTTAATCTGGTTTTTGATCACATTGATGTCTAAGGGACAAAGAAACAGTAAAGGAGATGAATGCAGGAGCATCTTCAGGTGTCCTCTGTGCCTTACATGGCGAAATACTTTCATATGAGTGTGCGTGAGTGCGTTCGCCCACCATCTCCTGCAGTGTCCAGGGAGCGGAGATACTGCAGCTCTTCCACCACCTTGTCCTTGACAGCCTCCAGCTCAGGAGGTTTGTCTGTCAACTTCAGTATGTTCATGAAGGCTTCATAGTTACAACTGGAGTCCCGAATCTACACAAGCATAAACACACCAACACACACTTACAATTGAAAGTTGTCTTTTATGATTATTAACACAAAAACAGCTCAACTCAGCTGATTGATAGATCGTATGGACGGTCAAATCTCACCATCCAGATAACAAACTGGTTGATGTAGTCCGGGTCGCTCAGCTGGTTGATCAGAGGAAGCAGGACACCACGAGCCAACACCTCCTAAAAAAAAACACCACAGTGACTTTCCAGTTACAAACATGACGTCATGTTGTCTGTTGTGTTAATTTGGCTAATTTAGAAGCCTGTTGTTGAATGTAAGACTCAGAGAGGCTTGTGGCCAGTAGCCAAACTGGCAGGACTTGCTGGTGACTCAACACAGACACACTGTGTGATGAATGTGTGTGAGATTGTTCAAGATTTTATGTTTATATATTGCATCGTATGTGTACTCACCCTTAGGAAGTATCTCATGTTCTTGTTGTGGAAATCTCCAGGAGGTAGTAACAGGTACAGAAGCAACTCACACAAGTCCCTAAGGAAACCTAACACAGCACAACACAACACAACACACACACACACACACACAGCTTGTGATTAGGTTTTCTGCTCGATTGGTGTCAAATGTAAAACAAGAACGATTGAAGAGGTGCCTTTACCTTCTTCGTCTTTGTTTGAAGTGCACACTACGTCTCGACAAATCTTCCTCTCCATCTCCACCTCGGCTTCAAAGAACGAGTCCACCAGCTCATCCGTTATGTCTCCTGTTCAGACATAACTCGTCATTATCTCTGCTCGACTCTATGAAACAATTTTTACAGCTGTAATCAAATCTTATACGATCAAACCAAATACGCAATCAGTGTTTAGGAAAATTCAGGAGACTTGCTGTGTATACTAATGATTAGTGAGGGATAGGAAGCGATCAGGAATGTGTGCGTACTCTGCTTGTCCTCTCTGTCAGCGAGACGATCCTGGGCTTTTCTGAAGACACGTAAATGGGTGGCAAAGTCGTCCACCAGGCGTGTGGTAAAGTAAGGCTGCCAGTCCACCTCTTTGGACCTTGACACATAAACACACACACACAAAGTTTAATAAATACGAAGCAGGTTTAGTATAAAACTATAAATATTGAAGCATAACATGTCATAGGGTTCAGAATATGCTCCTCTTGTACCGTGTGGAGAACTGGACGAGGGCGTTCTGCAGAGTCTGTCTGATCTCCAGTATGAAGGATTCATCTTCGCTCAGAGTGTAGTACCAGTACTGGATGTAGTCTCTCAGAGCAAACTGGATCACCTGCAGAGGAAACAAGAACAGAGGCTCATGGGGACAACAAATAGAGAGATGTGGAAAGTTAAATAAATGATACAGAGTTGAATGCAAGGTAAATAACTCTTCTTTGATAGAAAATTAACCCTGTTAATCATCATCGTCGTCTATAACACCCAAAGACAACTGGGCTATTAGGTTTAAAGAATGGATAAATCAATGATTTAGATGTAATTTGTTTAATACAATACAGATTGCAGCTAAATAGATTGATTCAATTACATTGATCAAAACTTAAATGCTAGTGAGCAGATCACATTCCATCACAAAGGCCCCACATTCCCTTCAAATTCAATCAAGCTGTATATCACAGCTTTCACCCAAGTTTTATGGTGATCTGTCCAGTATTTTTTGCGTCATGCTGCTTACAAACAAACAAACAAACAAATAAATGGTGTCATGTTAAAGTGAAAGATCTCGAGGTTCACGTGCTGCTGAAATGATTAGTGTGCATTCCCAGGGAGGAATGGAGAACAGAGACACCACAGTAGAGAAACATCTGACCATCTCAAATTGCTGAGTCTGCACGTACCTCTGCCGGTCATGTGGCTTTTACTGAGGAGAACGTGCTAAAAGCTTGGTTTCTACTGTAAGTGTCGTTAACCACAGATCAGGGTGGAAAGAGAAACTGTGACCAGCAGACAAAAGCAATTAACTGTATGTACGTGTTGGCAACACTGACAGGCAACCTGACATCATTTACAAGATCTTTTTATATCTGCCAAGGAGGTCATGGTTTCGGAACTTGGTGCGAGGATGGTACATGGGCCGAGAAAGAACACATTACATTTTTTAGTGGATCTAGACAAAATGGCAGATCCAGGAATATTTAACCACTTTCTTTAACATTGTGACATGAGGCTTTCTTAATACATTCCCCTTATTCTCCAGGGAATAATTCATATTAAATAAATGCTATAATTTACAGTCAATCCTGTAGTGTTTAATACACAGGAAGTCACAAAGTCACAAAGTCACACACACACACACACACACA